CAAACCCCACTACACTGCCCATCAAACCAGCTATTGTACAAACGAAAATCTCCCATAACGGGAAATATTCTGCCCGGGTTGTCTTAAAAGACAAACCAGACAATCCCGCTTCCTTTACCAAATATAGTATTCTTCTTCTTCTTCAGCCTTCTATTCGTTTTTGGACATATGCTTCTCCGTGTCTCTTGCACTTCTGTCGGTCTTATGCTATCCCAAACCAGCTTCGACCTACTTCTTCCGCGATATCATCCGCCTTTGTGGCGTAGCTCTACTTCTCGCTGTTGCTCTGGGTCGCCAAAGTACAACCCTGTTAGTTCGCATAAGTTGCTGAAAATGATGACGATATCATCTGAAAATCATCAATATTTATTCCCTTTTGTTCCAACTGAAGTTTCTTAAAGACGCCTTCCAAAGCCAAAAAAAAAAACAACTTTGGCGATATTGTATCCCCTTGACGCACTCCTCGATTTAATTTGATTTTGTCTGTTTTGGGGTTTTCGTACATTTTTACTTGCATTGTTGCATGTTTATATATATATTTTGTAAGCGTACTATATCTATAATCTATTCTGTCGTTGTTGTGCGCATTTAAAACAGGATCATGTTTCTACAGAATAAAATTCGTTTCGGAAATCAACAAATGCAAGGTATATGGGAATATTGTATTCTTGTGTTGTTTTTTGCCTATTAGGATTCGCAATGTTTGTAGATGGTGAGTTGTGCTGTATTCGTTTCAAAACCCGGTTTGCACCACTGGTTGATAGAAAACAAGTTTTCTTGAAAGACGGATGGTAAGTATCTGAATTAAAAGTTTATAGAGCTCTGACACTAAGCTGATAGGATGGTAGTATTGGAGATTTGTATTATCCCCCTTCTTGAACAAAAACACGACTTCTGCATTATACCAAGTATTCGGTATTCTTCCATCCTGTAGACATTTGTTGAGCAAAGTCTGTAGGGTTTTCTGTATATTACGTCCTCCAAATTTCCACTTTTCAACCCTGTGTGTTTTTAATATTTGTAATTATATGTTTTCCAATGAACAGTATGGACCTGAGAACTATCATGTTCTTAATTTTTCGACGGTGTCTCGTATTACTCTGGGTCTGTGTGATCTCCGATATCTACGGATGGCGTTCTTTAAATATTTGGTAAGTAATTTGTGCTCTTCTGTTTTTTTTTTCAAACTCTCGTCTTTGTTTCATCATTTGTATGGTGGTTGTGTCAAGTTTCCCATTTCCTGGTTTTTTAGGTCTTGGACAGATCTTCTTAGCTACTGTTTTTATGGAAGTTATTATTTTTTCATGCGTTGATTTATATCCCTATTATGTTCGAGAACTTCATTCGATTCAGTTCTTCAGTTGTTAGAAATCTAGGTTGCTTGATTAACTTATTTCTTTCATTTTTGGTATCACTGTTAAAACATGCATGTTTGAAAGAATCTCCTTTTTTGTTAAATTGCCCTCTCCAAGTCCATTTGTGGGTGGGTTCTTGAAGAATGTGTTTAAGCTGTATACGTTTTTACTGAGGAGGAACTACCCAACATCAACTCTACTAAAACACTTACAATCAAATTTTAAATAACCAGTTAACATAATTGTTATACTGTAAAGTCAGAGTCTACATTGACATATTTTTAATATGCATGTAATAGCACTAAAACTGATTGGGTCGATAGTCTTTTTGTTAGGGGATAAAAACCACTATTGATGTATTAAAACAATTATGTATATCTTCTATAATCGGTCCAGGTCCATCCACTTTCTCAGATATTATAAAGTTATAGGCATAGCAATAGCTACTTTTCAGCTACTTTTTTTATTGGAAATACCACGTAAATGTTATCAATCCTCTTTGTCAGCAAAAAGGAGAAAAGCCATATTCTATGTTTATATTCAGATAATTCGACTCGTAATTTGTAGTCGCTGATCTAAGCATAAATGGTTAAGCTCAACCGAATTATACAGATAAATTTCAGTCTAATAAGAGAGCCTTAAAGAACTCGTTGTATCAACAACATAATAAAATACGTTCTGCTTGTGTTGATAAATACATAGTTATTTTATTTCAATGCTCTTTTCCCTATTAATAATATAATATTTGTTTTTTTGAAATGTGTTGCTACTGTATTAGGAACTAGTAAAATCATTACGAAACAAACAGCATTTGTAATTATGATAATAATAAATACAATTATAATAATAAAAATTATTGACTTCATTCAATATGAGTTTTCACGTATTCAAATGACAATTTGAATAATCGTTAAATAGATAGAGCAGATGGTGCACCAAATGTGGTGAACACCATTGTTACCAGAATTGAATGTGTGTGACTTTTTTGTGATTTTTATTATCATAAGCTTACTTTAGCGATATAAATCCCGTTATTATTGAAAAAAACTTAATAACATACGTACTTTAAGGCGTTCAAATATATTTATTATACGTCTTAACTCATGTTTGTCTTAACTCATGTTAAAAAACTCAAACTTGAACGGATCATTTTTTTTTTTCATTTCAACATTTTTTTACAGTTTTCAATTCAGTAATTAATATGTACTTTAAAAACTTTTGTCCCGTAGTCAGATTTTAAATCTATAAAAAAAACCAGACCAAAAAATTTACCGGTATAATTGCTTTAAAAAACATAGTTTTACTTTCATCAAATTGCTTGATAAAATGAAACTGAATTTTTGTTTCTCACTCTTCCCTTATGTTTATATTCTATATATTTGTTTACATACGTCTCTGTTTCAACTATAATAGGTTTCTAAACTCCATCAATTACCGGATTTGCCTAATTAGAAGCTCGTATATAATTGCGAAAAATTTGACGGTACAATTAAATACCAGTCTATACAAATGTTACCCACAAATTGTAATGAGTAAGTTCATCTTTTTTGTGTGGGAAACCCGTTCAATTATTTCCAGTTTACTTTTTACAAGCGAACATAGCCAACAGCGCAGGTAAAAGCGTTTAAAAATACGTTTTAAATATGCTAATGAAAAGTTCAAAGCAGAATTAAATTATCTAGGGTGCAGATTAATTGTATAAATTAAACAACCGCATGAAGCCTGATTTAACTACACCTTTCGTTTAATTTGAAACTGCATTTCTAATTGAACAAACTTTTCGCCTGGATTTGGTTTAACGCTTTTTCTCAAATAGGTTTTATTCATACCGAAGGTGACTTAGGGCCGGTTGCACAAAAGCAAGTTCAACGATGGTTCAACTGAACCGTCAGTCACCGGTGAACCGGAGTTCAATTTTTACGGGTTGCACCACGCCGATCCGAGCTCGGTTTAGTTGAACTCGACTATTCATTTTTTTCCTAGGGCTGGCACTAGGTATATTTGGTTTTCTTTGATTGGCAACAATGTTATCAGTCCAGCATATTTGAACTGAACCACATCCACATGGTCTGATACTGAATAGATTGAAGCGTATAAGCATTAAAATATATTTTTATTTAGCTCAGTAGATTCAGTGAAACCTTTCAATTATGGAAGCCATTACGAAATCCGCCCGGTCTACGAATTTTACGTCGAAAGAAAAAAACATTTTGCTGGCTTTAGTAAAAATATATAGCACATATCGAGTGTAAAAAAACAGATGCAAACCATAATAAAATATATTTTCTCTACTAAGATTTTCGTAACTTTCGATAATCTAAATCTAAATTTAAAATTGTGATCGTTCCATTGCAGGAAATGATTTGGTTGCTCCCTATATGCTAATGATCTTGTATTTAAAAATGTTCCATCGTCTGCTAGTTCACCCAACAGGTCTATTTGCACAAAAAAAATGTTTAATATTTATAAACACCTATGTTATGTAAACATAAAATTAACACCCTAAACACCTTTAGGTTATAATATGACAGTCTCGGCACTGAACCACGGTTGACCGGCCGATTTTAGTCGTTCAGCTGAACTGGGATTTGATCTCCCGTTCAGGCTTGAACGCGACTGGCACAACCGAAAATTTTCCTTGAACCAAGTTCACCGATGAACTGTCGGTGAACTTGTCGGTGAACGACTGTGCAACCGGCTCTTAGTATGCACAATCGAGTCTCAGAAATAAGAGCCTGGGTTTTTCGGGTGCAATTCCGGAATTTCCGTTTCAAATGTAGGTCACTCTGGCACTCTTCGTCTCAACATGGTATCATCGCAGTGTCTCATCAATTGTCTGTCTTCTGCTGTCTCATTAAAGAATTCGGGCGTACGTTGACCAGATTGTCCAAGGCTGAATTGGAATGCGAATACTTATAGGGTTTGTTGCGTTTTATCAGTGTTTATATTTATTGTCTGGGACAAAATAATGTTTCGTGATGATGATACGCTGCGGTTTCTGCTCGTCCAACATAGTATCCTCCTTACGCGCCAACGAATGTTACTCAACAATCTCCTAGAAAGTTTGCAGCAGGGTCTTTATTCAAAAATAGTCTTAGGACCCGAGGAGTGCTGGACTCCTAGACGGACTACAAAATTAGATAGGAGCTAACCACCAAAGGCTTTCACGAACAAAAATCGTCAGATGGCGCAAAGGAGGAAAGGCAATTGCAGCGGAAACTAGTACTACTACTCAAAACGGAGACAAACGTCGCGTAAGAGTAGACATATGCCAGTTGTTTGGCGTTAAGCGCAGCGAGTCGCACAAATCCAGGGAATTGCAGATTCCCAGAACCACACAGGAAAAGTGCTAAGAAAAGAGGCTCCTACAACACCCAGGCCAAGTCAACCAAAGACGTCACAGCGACATGGCGATTTCATGGAAAACAACAATGTCGCTGTCACAGCCCAACTAGGCGCGGAGGCACACTAGTAGTAGTCTGTACATCTAATTCTTGATCACAAATAGGTAGCAAATAAAAAAAAATCCCTTATCAATTTTGGAAGTAGAAAATTCCTATAGTGCTGATTCTCATTTAAACTCAAATGAACCACATACTTATTCCAAAGAACCGCTTTTTATTAGCGTACTATTCATTTACTTACATGATCCAAATTTTAAAGGACAGCGCTGAATATCCATTGGAAAATCGGCCAAGTTCATTGGACACCCAGCTTTGATAGTAAGTCTGCAAAAAATCACAATTTTTCAAGTGGTTGTTACTTGAAACTGGTTACCTGATAATCAACAAATTTTAATTATTATTAGTATCATTTAGGCAAGTTTCAAGAACATAAAGTTAAAAAATAGGTTCAATGGTTACAGAACAATCCAATAGTCCCGTTTGGTTGATTTCATTTGCCGTACTCTACTCAGCTATCATAAAGGGCAAAAACTGCATTGTTTCTGCTGTTAAAAACAGGCGGCAGCGAGTAGAAATGGCAATGAAAGAATTGCCAGGATTGACAGCAGGTTTCCACACCAATGCAACTTCCAATACATACAGGTCTTCGTTTATAAATTTAAGTTATGTTGATCTGTCTGTCTAAATGCAAAAATGTCGCATTAATACGAGAAATATTTGCTTTAACTTTTTAAGTAACTTTAACTGAGATATTTACATTTACGCTCATTTTATCTCTAAAAACTGATCGATATCGTCTATCGAATCCTTTCCTTGAAGTGTTCCTTGAACTCGAGCCACTAATTGAGCTGGTGGTTGCTTTGGAAATTTTGTACAGGGTTATCCATTTTATGCTTGGGAACGTAAAGTAAAAAAAAAAAAATATTCAGATGGAGACGAAAATTTTTATTTGATATAAAGATTAAGCCTTGCCATTATACGTAAAAAACAATAACTTTTCGGCACATTACCGGTAATATCTCCGTCATAACTTCACAGATATTGTATTTCAGTTGCTCAAGAGTTTGAGGATTGTTGGCGTAAACACGATCTTTCTCATAGCCCCACAAAACAAAATCTAACGGTGTTAAGTCGCAGGATTTTGCGGGCCAATTCACATAACTCAATCTCGAACTTACGCGTCCTGGAAATTTATCTTAAAATAGGGCTCTAACTGCCAGTGTTGTGTGACTCGTTGCTCCATCTGCTGGAACCACATGTCTTCCAAATCATAATCTTCAATTTCTCTCCAAAAATAATCGGTTAACATGCGTCCATCGCGCTCAGAATTGTTTGTTATAGCTCTTTCTTGATCGTTTTCAAAAAATATATGGGCCACTAACACCACCATGACCATAATGCACACCATACGGTCCCTTTTTCAGGATGCAAAGGCCTTTCTGCGATCACCTGCGGATTTTCAAAGCCGAGCGAAAAATGAGCCTCATCGCTGAAGAAAATACGGTTCGAAAAATCATCATCAACGGCTTGCTATTCAATCACCCAATTTGTGTATGTTCTGTGTTGCCCATGGTCATGAGGCTTAAGTTCTTGTTTCCGTTGAACTTTATAAAGATGGAGAGTCAAACCAAATTGCAAAATTCGCCACAATGAGCCGTAAGACAAGCCCAAATGTTGAGCACGTCGGGTAATCGACGAATTCGGGTCTTCCTCCACACTTTGAGATGCCATAACAATTGCGATATTTTCAGCTGAACGACTGTTGCGATGCTGCACAGGCCCTACAATATCAGTAACCAATCCAGTCTCTTCAAATTTTTCCCCTGTGTTCGAAATTGTTTGCTCTGTGGGTCGCTTATGTCGACCGTAATCTGCTCGTATAGCCCTAAACGTTGATACAGCAAAATCACCATTTTTAAAGTAACATTTAATATTTTTTACGCGTTCTTTGACAATTAAACTATCCATATTCCTAAATGGCAAACCGGATGAGGCTTACCTTTGACAGATATCAAATAGCAAGGTTTTACTTTCTCAACCTCGAATTGGATAACCCGTTATTTGAAACGATCTACTATTTTCAAATAAATAGCAACATATCCCATAAGATCATGAACAAATAGTAAATATTTAAAAGCAATAAACGAAAAATCAATGCAATCCGTTGCGTGCCGTTCTAAAAATTATTAATGCATATATAGAAGACTGACGTTACCTTAAAAGTTTTCCATCAACTAATTATTAATTGTAATAAAACTTCAAGTTCGCTAACAGCATTGGTGTTCAAGCCACTTTTCGAGCAGAATTCGCAATTTTGTGCGAATAAGCTGTTATTAATACAGCTCAAGATATTTTTCACGCACGTTATTTTTAACTAGTAAGTATTGAGAGGTGAAACAAAATCATATTTTTGCGTGCTTCTCTAGGTTCATTCTTTGCATCATGGGTTAGAATAAAATAAAAAATAATAAATCTATAGATTTTTCTTCACTTCACAATCAGTTTCGTGGATTAATATTGAGCAACATTAGCATAAAAGATGTCAAATTTATAAAAATTAGTTAAACAAGCAAAAAATGGTGTTATATGGACTTAAGATATTCAGCCCTGTGCTGTATCACTCACGTTAACTTTAACGTGTATGTTATCCGTCAAACACGTTATGTGGCTCGAACTGGTGTGTCTTCTATCAGTCAAACCGTTATATTATAACAGGCGCGCACGCTATCGACGAACGTTATATTAAGAAATAGAGAAGCGGCTAATTGTAGCCCCATTGAAATACAACGTTGCCAGTATCTAATGTTCTGTCGGGTGTCAAATCATAAACAGGTGACGTTAGCACTGTTAAAAGTGGGACGTGAAGTGGTGGGGTTTTCTAGATCATGCCTTAGAATTTCTTTTTCTCTTTCTCGTTTTTTTGTCCTCTGCACTTTTGCTTCTTCCCTTCCCTTTTTTCTAATAGGTGCTTGGCACTCCATTGTTAATGGGTTCAATTTTGGCTCTTGACCCTGCATTGCTGATTGTTTCTCTGTCGGCACTTGGCCCTGCATTACTGTTAATACGTTCCATATCAAGTATTCCTTCATTTTCCGAAGACGACACCTCAGAAGAAGGAGTCACCTCAAGAAATCATCATAAAGGTTGACATCCTGATCATTTTCTTCCGATGTCATTACAAAATTCTATAAAATTTATTAATACACATATGAGGATACAAACAATAATGTAAAAATTACATACCTAGGAAGTATTCTTTGTTTTATTTTATTGAGGCAACCAATAATTTTTAGTTGACATTAACATAAAATTATTAGTCACTGTCAAAAAGCAAAACTACAAACCAGCACTCTGGATAATCTATTCTGGTTCCAAAAATTTCTAACTAATATCTTTGATAACTTGCAGTAGACTGATTAAATTAATAACAATTATAATGCAAATTTGTTGTGGCTATGTATGTAAGAAGCTATTTTTTATTCATGAAAGAAGTGCATATGTTATGACATGAGCAATTTCTGTACCGGAAATTTGAAAGATAAATGTTTAATTGTACATAGGCACTTCTTGCATAAAATATTTTGAGTAATAAATAACTTATGTTTGCTTTATTTATGTTATGTTAATAATGTATGTAATACTTTACGTTATGTTAATAATGACATGACATGACATAATAATGAACATGTATGATTTTGGAAAATCGAGATTAAATACTAGAGGGCTTCGACATTTTTCCCTCATAAAATTTACATTTTTCTTAGTATTTTGGCATATTTTTCTTAAAAACGCAAAATAGTGACATAAGCACTTTTTGTACCGAGATATGTATATGCATTTATAATTGTTAAAGTATTTTAAGATGCATGATACATGTTTGTAATAATGTTATGTCTAACTTCTCGCGTGACCCAATAAATAATAAAAGTGATAATTAGACTATGGCTTCATTGCAAAAATTATTATTATTAATGTTATTATTGTAACTTCTAAGGAGTGTTTTTTGTGTATATATTTTGTTAAATAAAATAATATATTATTATTATAAACTAAAATTGTGTTTGATTTTCTATAAAATTGTTATATATAATATATATTGTTATAATGTTTATTATTTTAATTATTTTTTCTTCTTAAACTTCTAATCTTAAATTGATTTTTGGTAGACGTTTCAAATCGGAAATCATTTGTTTTATCGATATTTTAAATAACTTGTTAAATAAATAAGAAGATCTTCCATTTTCTCTGTATCTCTTTCTTTCTGTAATAACGCTTCAAATCAGCTGAAATCTGGCAACAATGTATTCCAATGGGGCTACAATTAGCCGCTCCTAGAAATAGCGCTTCAGAATAACAGCATCAAATTACATGCCGCTATCGAACTTAACGTACGTCCCTCGAAATTAACCTTGGGGAATAAATAAAACAATTGTGTTTATTCAGAGCGTAATTTTGTCTTTTAGATATAATTTGTTTTTAATTTAAAACAAAAATATGTCTTTTGATGGTCTTATAAGGTTAGATTTATTAGAACAATTAGTAAATAGTCTTGAAAATGAACTTTATTTTCCTCCACAAACTCTACTAAATTTTCAAATTCTCCATTCAAAGTGTTTGAGAAGATAACAATAACGAACGAAATTGAAAGTGAATGCAAATCATAAACAAAGACAAGTATGGTAGTAGGTGGACCAAATGGTCAAAACGTGCACATGTGGTGGCGGTGTTTTAGAAGCTTCGATGGTTTGATGTTAAGTCTCTCTCTAACTAATAGACTATTCGTATAAGGGCATCACACTTTATGCATCCGATATTTGTTGTGTTGCTGCGTTATAGAAAATCAGCACTGTGTTGTATCATAAATGCTATTTTTAACGGCCACAGGTTATGGCAACTTAACATCAGTGCTCTATTTCAAATCCATCAAACGTTAAAAAGGAAAAAATATTGGGTGCATAAAGTCAGATGCCCTTATACAAATAGTCTATTAGTTAGAGAGAGAGAGTTAACATCAAACCATTGAAGGTTCTAAAACATATGCACCACCGCCACATGTGCACGTGTTGGCCATTTGGGCCACCTACTTCCATACTTGTCTTTGTTTATAATTTGCATTCACTTTCAATTTCGTTCGTTATTGTTCTTGACCTATAATCTCAAACACTTCCAATGAAGCATGTACAGAACAGGCACAAAAATAACCCGCAAACAATTTGAAAATTTAGTAGATTTGTGGAGGAAAATAAAGTTTATTTTCAAGACCATTTTCCAATTGTTCTAATAAAGCTAACCTTATAAGACCACCAAAAGACATATTTTTCTTTTAAATTAAAAACAAATTATAGCTAAAAGACAAAACTACGCTCTGATTAAACACCATTGTTTTATTTATTCCCCGAAGTTAACTTCAAGGGATGCACGTTAAGTTCGAAAGCGGCATGTGATTTGATGCTGTTATTCTGAAGCGCTATTTCTTCATATAACGTTCGTCGATAGCGTGCGCCTGTTATAATATAAAGGTTTTACTGATACAACACACCAGTTGGAGCCACATAACGTGTTTGACGGATAACATGCACGTTAAAGTTAACGTGAGTGATACAACGGAGGGCTGAATGTTATCCTCAACTGTTTAGTTGCCATAACGTGGGGCCGTTAAAAATAGCATTTATGATCTAGCACAGGGATAATTAGTTAGTTTTGTCGAATTATTCCTTGAATTTGTAACACTGTACATGCGAAACAATGAAAAGTCACATTATTGTAATGTGGGCATTGTCAAACCAAATATACCAGAAAAACGTAGCGGTTACAGCCGGACAGGTCTTGAGAGAAGATTGCGCTCGTCTAATTTTTTAAAGAAAATGTGAGGTAATTAATTTATACTTCCGGTTGTGGTGTTGAAGTTGCTGATATAAGTTACACTGCAGGGATAAAAGGTTATATTCGATTTTTGACAAATTGTAATTTACCACTAATCTAGGGTTCTCAATATTACAAAATTGCAGACAAAACTTTGTCAATAATTTTATTTGGTAAATTATAATTATGATTAATTTAGATCATTACATTTCTAAATTTTTCTAAGGAAGACGGTAGACCACAAACATCAAGCAGCTGCATCCCCATATAAGCAAACATTTTTTTAAAACCTGAAGTATGCAGGTTGATTAAAATGGAAGTGCAAAATATCAAACAGCCTTAATTAAAGTTAGAAACACGTTAGCTAGGCCTGATCGTGGCTTTTATACCCCATCTGCCTAGACCCTTCTTTAGTTTGCAAACTAATTTGAAATCGTACACAACGATTAATTTATACGGTTGAGGATTTTGCAATTTTACTTTTATTTTGATTTTTACTTGAACTTAAACTTTATAAAATTTAATTATTGTTTATCGGTCGAACTACAACGAAAAAATTGCGGCGTTTACTTAAACCTAAAGAAAAATTTAACTTTGCCTAGGAAATGTACTACCGCTTTTGAAATATTTTGACTGTATACCGAAAACATTGCAGTACAGTCAGGAAAACTACTTTCAAAGTTATTCAAAGTAAAGGCTGCAAGCCTTAACGTTCTATCAACTTCTGATACAAATTTTTCTCCGAAGACTAACTCAAACGTCATTATTTGTAAGGTATGTAAACTGATCCATTTTTAAGGACTGATCTATACCAGAATTCATATCTATACCGATTAATGTTTTATTAATTTGTTGGAATTAGAAAGCTTTGAATATTTCAGTAAATTGGCAGCAAAAAAATTTAATTTTAATTGAGACATTTTGATTGTGTTCAACATTCTTTTTCGTCAAGTAATTAATCCATTTTTTAAGCTGACACCGTTTTTGTAATATTATATGTATTATATATCAGTTAACAGATGTAATTTAAAACATTTTCTGATATTATATTTGTGTTTATTTCGCGTAAACAGTTTAAATCCGTAGTTCGCTGAATGTCCATATTATCACGTAACTTCAAGGAGTATTTTAAAATACTGCATTCCGCGTCCGTAGTTCGACAAAAATAATACAAATATTTAGTTGCAAACGAATCGTTCCAGCAAATACTGTCGAGATTTCAGTAAATACACATAATAAAAATAGAAAATGCAGAGAATTGCAGGAACACAATTGATGATTTGTTTGTTTGGTTAATTTCATTAAATAAAATCTGTAGGGTTATTCAGTTTCCTTATTTAAAATCAAATCACCTAAATGTTTTTAATACTTTTAAGTTGTCCAGAATGTTGGTAAATTAAAACGTTTTCCTATATAGCTAAGCTTAAATCATACCGAAATGTCGAAAAAGGTAGGTACTTTTGATTTTATAACAAATTCGGTTATTTCATTTAATATTTTAAATGATTGAATTAAATGCAGAAGCTGACAAAAGATGCCTACATACAAAATTTGACAATTTGTACTTCATGATTAGCTTAATATTTTTTACCAGTTCATTTATTCAGCTACAAAGGATATAATGAAAGGAAATAAAATTGACTCTGATCGTTTCAAAGAACTTGGCTATTCTATTTATTATTAACTATTGGTCTAGGCTCAAACGTAGCTTCATACAGAGTGTCGTTTTCTGAAATTGGTGTGCAATAATTTGTTCTCATCGATCATGCAAGAACAAGAATATATCGAGTGATTTAGAACTATGGGATCAAACTTCTAAGATTATTCGAAATCAGTATTTACATTACACAATAACAAAGCACTAAAATGATCAGTATTAATAACAGAAATTATTGAGAGTTGGTTTGATACATTCAGTCGTTGATTTCAAATGTTAAAATGTTTGCAAACTCTTTACTCTTATGGCGAATGAGAGAGAATTTAATGATCAGTTTTAGGTCAGACCTGCTGCCTAATTGTTTAACAGGGTTTATAAACGGGTGTTTTTTAAAAGACGCCCTACCCGCACTTTTCATTTCAAACGTTCCACAGAAAATGTCCAATATGGGGATGCACTTCAGCACTTTTCTGTTGAAGTCCGTCAGTACTGGAATAGTAACTTAGGCTAGCCTTGACATGCCGAGATGATCCAGTTTCGTGCCCCCCTAGGCCACCCGATCTAACACCGTTAGGATATATTTTCATAGAGATGTGTCTGCGATTTCAAATGATACAACACCGAAACAGAGAAAAACCGTAAAAACATTTACAAACACAAAAGTCAGAAAGTCAACAGAAACCATGTACGTTGGAACTAGAGGTGTGATAAACGGTTATTTTCTGTAACGGGTTACAACGTTCCAGTTCAACCTAGGTAATAGGTCTCAAAATGCGGTTCCAAGAGGACTGTCACTTTTTAAATTTGTCATTAAAAATGCAGAATGATGATGATAGTAGAAATAGTGATGATATATAATGGTTTCCTTAATTAAAAACATAATTCTTAACATTGGTAAACTTAACATAAAATATTCTAAAATAGAAAACAAAACATGGGTCAGAACTAACTGCTTCAAGAACAAAAAAATTGATAGTAAACTAGAGTGATTAAATAAAGTATATGGTTTATATGCGAAAATGTTTAAAAATCTCATTTTCATTTAAAAATGAATTAACATTGTAAAATACATTTTGTTTTCAAATGCTTTTTACTGTATCTAGTTCTTCGCTCGTTTAGAAAATAATCTCTTGCATTTCCCTTCACAATAACATTAAATAATCCACAATATCAACAAACAGAAATGCGTGTTTGGTAAACCTAGACGAAGTATTACTAGAGTTAATTATATGTCGATATACTATTTAACTAACTTTGATTTCGTCTCTAACTGCACTTATATTTAAAAATGGCCAGCTTGCTTAAATCGCAAGTCTGCATTCTGCTTAGTTTGCAAGTTGGTAATAGGCATATAACTACCGAGCTAAGCTTCTTGAAATAAATCCCCTTTTCTTAAGATTTATTATAGAATGTCAGAAAACTAAATACTTATAGACTGAAATTGCTGAATTATATAATCGCAGCAACTAAACAAATTTTCGCTGGTTCCTGGAAAACTGAACAGCAATTCTTATAAACGAAAAGTGATACACAATCATCAAGGCAACGCGCTACTACATACAACATATTTTCCCTTGATAAATGGTTACTGAAACTGCTACAACTGGATATAGCAAAAGCGCTCGACGATGCCGCATCGGTGCTGTGCTGACCCAAACCACTTTTGCAGGTTTATCATACGGTTCCAAAAACAACCGTTTAAAACGGAAAACTACTGCAGCTGGTGCAAAGTGCGCACAACTGTTTCGGTTTTAAGAGACAGTTCCAAAAACAACCGTTTAAATCGGCAAATGGCTGCAGCTGGATAGATTCGATATTGGTGCGAAGTGCGCACCGCTGTTTCGGTTTTATGAGACGGTTCCAAAAAAAACCGGTTAAATCGGCTAGCTGTAACTACGGTTTCAAGTTATACGTTTGGAATAGTGTTATTCTAGCAGTTACGTTAAATACCGATCATCCCTAGTTGGAACACATATATTCAATTTCAACATTTTATTTTTTTAAATCATTATAAGGTCGTAGCGCTTCAGAAAGGCATTTACGGGCATGGGATGTTACTCGCAAAATAAATTCTATTGTTGCTCTGAATATTGTCTGGAAAAAAATTGCTTTATAAGTGGATCCGTAATAGTATATTACATAATAACAGTTGTAAGAAGCACTTTACGTACAAACGGAAAATTTGCACACACTGCCGCGAAGCGGAGGGTGCGTAATTCCATGAGCTCCATGCGAACGCAAATTATGTACCATACTTTACCTACGGCCGTAATAACTTACTAAAACTAAAAGACAAATTTGTCAGTTTTGACAACGATTAAAAAGTTAACAGCAGCCTAGAATTACAAATTAAAACGTCGTACCTTCACAAACAAATATAACCTATTTATGCAACATATTCGCATTTGCGTAATAAAATTAGAGTAATGCGCGTGTCTCTATTGAATCCATACATACTACTAGCAATAAAAATAAAACAAATGAAAAAATTAAACTTATTTATAAAGGTTGCATATTTTAAACTTTTATTGATAACTTTTCCTTATAAAACTATATTATGCTAAATATGTATAGGTTCTTAGCTTTTGCTATATGAAATCTATGTATACGAGCCCTAACAACTATACGTTCTCATGGTGTTTATTGAGTAGAAAATAAATAGCATATATATATGATTTAAACATATATTTTTGTTTCCTATCTTCAAAAATCAATTAATTGCCTCTTTACGCAGCATCCATGCTCACATGGAAACTTTTTTATTCTGCTTTTCTCGGTAGCAAATTAGCAATCTTCTTTTGAAGCTATGAAGTTTCTATAACATTCAACACCGGACTGCTTGAGAGCCACCATAAAACTTTGAAATTATGATCTCCAAACCACTTTTTGGCCATTTTACTGTGTGAAAAAGCGCACCATCCTATTGAAAATGCAATTTTTAATTCCAAAATATCATTCCGTAGTTGGAATTTAACTTCTTGATAAATTTGTTGGTACTTTTCTGCCTTTACAGCTCCACCAACAAACTCATAATTGCTTGATAAAGTAAGATTTTGATAAAGTAAGACTGACGGACGTCATAAAACTCCTAGAAGAAAGGAAAATTCATCAGAATATTGTGTCCATCATCAGAGAGCTAAACACCGGCAATCACACACTCGTAAAAGCAGAAAATAGAACAACAAGGAGAAAACCCGTCAACACAGGAATTAGACAAGGAGACAGCCTAAGCCCTATATTGTTTAACATCATCATGGATGAAATCATTACAAAAACAAAACAGACTGGAAGGGGATATCGAATGGGAAATGCAGAAATAAAAATAATGTGCTACGCTGATGATGCAGTGATAGTCTCCGAAGATGAAGCCAACCTACAAAGACTATTATATAAGTTCGAACAAACCACAAATAAATATAAAATAGAAATATATACCCGGAAAACACAATCACTCACTATATCCAAAGAGCCCCGAAGATGCAAACTCGCCGTTTACAACCAAAGTGTAGAACAGGTGATGGCGTTTAAATATCTTGGAGCAAACATCACGAGTAACAGGAATCTAAAGGAGGAAGTAAGGAATCAAAGGTCAAAAGCCACTCTAATATCGGGGTACTTGCGAGACATCATCTGGAGAAACAAGCACATGAGTATAGGGAGTAAAGTCAGAATCTACAAAACGTGCGTGAGACCAGTGATGACATACGCCGCAGAAACAAGAGCGGAAAACACAACAACCAAACGCTTGGTAAGAACAACAGGAATGCGAGTCCTAAGATCCGTAACAGGACACACATTATACGATATGAAAAAGAGTGAGGAAATTAGAGATACCTGTAAGGTTTCGGATGTTGTAAGATGGACCAGAGCAAGGAGAAGAGCGTGGAGAGACCATGTAGAGAGAATGGCCGACGACTGAATGGCAAAAATCGCCAAAGACCAAAAACCTAACAGCTCAAGACTCCCAGGAAGACCACCGAAGCGATGGTACGAAAGCTGGACATCAGCATCCCAGGACTAGGAAGTTGAAGAAAAACATAGGACTCTGAGTCCTAACGTACGAGGAAGAAGAAGAAGAAGAAGAAGAAGAAGTTTAATACTCATAGATATAATATAATACTCATAGATAGGTCTTGATGAAAGGATTCTGCTTTTGTTTAAATTACTTCTTTGCGAAAATCGGCTACGCGTTCGTCGTATTGTGATTCCTTACTAAAAATAACGTTACTCCGCACTTCCGCTGTCGGGGATATTTTATTAGATTTACCCCAATTAAAATTTTTTGTAGATCTAAATAATGGCTTTTCCTTTGCCTAAACCGAAAGCAGATAAAAAACTTATATTATTTCATATTGTACTCCGTAATATCATAAACCTTCTGTATAAAAACTGTACCCAGATGTATGCAGCCATACTCTCGCATGCATTCGCACGATACATTTAAGTTACATGCTTAAATGCTATGCATATTTTGCTTCCTGGTTCCACTGAGCTTGAATTTGTGGTGCCTCTTCTGTTGGATCTGCGGTTCTTTACGTTACAAGTACACAACGTTCTCTTTCAGGAAATAATACGGGGTCGGCCTGAACGTTTACAACGAACAGCACAAACTTTTTGATAACACAATGAAAAATATTTACATTTGATTTGCTTCCACTGTATTGAGAAATTATAATTTATCATTGCTTTTTATATTTCAACAGCACGTATTATTTTCTCATGCCTTTATGTGAAACTATGAAACTTATCCAACTCAAACTAACAGACATTAATCTAAGCGCACTTGGTTTATTAGCAGATGTATGCGTAATATTGGTTTAATCGGTAAATCAAATGCACATCCGAATATTTACTTGCAACAATTTTTCTAACATATCTACTATCATTTTCTGTAGTTGCGGAGAAATGAAAAAGTGATGCGCTAACATCTTACTGTATGATAGGGAACTTGTAAGAGTCCCTATTTTTCAATAGCAAAGAAAAAAAAGCATGTTTAAACTAAACAAACTAAACATTATGATTATTTGGGCGACGTCCGAAAATATAGTTGTTAGGGGTCGTATATGCAAATATAGTAAGCAAAATATTCATACTATGTATGGATTTCTAAATAGCGCCGGGGTGTGAGATGATTTAATTATCATTATCTCGATAACTCCCGTCAAAAGTTTAAATCTGGAACACTGATATCCCTAACCTGCATGTTATTAATAACAATTTTTCTATAGCATCTAGGAATTTACTCCCTCTGATAAAATTTACATTTTTGTAATTACTCGGCATTGTTCCTCTGGCGTGAAAATTCCAAATATGTAACCAAATGACCGAAGGGCGAAAGGGTATTAGAATGAAATCGCTGTAAAGCGGGTTAAACACGATATTATAGGGAGAATACCAGTATTGGCGATATCCAGTTACAATCCCAACTTTGACGATAATATTGTAAACCGTGAATCCTTAACGAAATTAGTCAAACGAAGCTTGACAAAGACCTTCCGACGCTCAAAGATCACATAATGAGATTAACTGGAGGCTGCATCGAAATATAAGAAGGAAATTTTCGTATAATATCCTTAAAAGATCAAGCGCGAAAAATTATCCCAAAGGATATTTTCACGTTACTATGGGATTTCCAAGTTTTAAAAATTTAATACGCTTTACGACACAAAAGTTTAACTTTGATACATCTGGCTCTGTGGCTTATAAAATTTTCGTATAAAATTCTATTGACATTAAGATTTCCTGATAAAGTATTCATATGGCGATGAAAACTCACTCTTCTGGGAGCGTGCTTTAGGTATCTACTCCTTCTACAGCGAATTTGTTACTGAACAATTCTGAAAAGTGGTAAATACTAAAGTTGCTTATTGTTACTTACATTTTTATAGTTAAAATAAAAACTTGAAAGAGGCAAATGACAAAGTTAGACATCAAGTAATTTTTTAATGGAACACCCTATATATCTATTATAGGATATATGACTTATGAAACTAGTAGATAAAGTGCAGAGTATAAGAGTTAAATTTCATTAACAAACTGCAGATCAAAACGTTACGATAATGCTGCCGTAATGGCAGTTCACACGTATGGCTTTTAACAAAGACTAATGAAGAAAGAAGTCATTAAGCATTATTTGTAAATGTAAATTTAGTAGAAGTTACTGCCGCTGAACAAGAGCCAATCGTTGTGACATGTTCTGGGATAATTGAAAACATACAGCTTGATTTAAAATTGGCATAATTCCTCCGGAGGTGTGGTCTGGCGTTGTTTTAGGAGAGCAGAAAACATAGTAAAAAAATTATTTGTTATTTAAAACTGAGAAATTTGCAAAAAACTATATCAGAAAGACGGCAGCAATGTTTTTCAAGGTAATCTGCCTAATTAACATTGCGCAAATACCTGTTGCTTCGTAATTATTAAAACTCAGGCAACCATGGAATTATACAAAAAGTGACAATAAAATAGACAAGGATAAACGGTAAATTCAACAAGATTTGTTGACTGGGGAGTATGCTTTCTCATAAGCTCGAATTGGTGTTTACAAATAAACCATACATAACCAAACATTTGAATTGTTAACTCCAAAAAACCTAGTGCCTGTTTAATCTAGTTATTATCCACTCTTATCAAGCAGCTTCTCGTATTTAGCTAATTACAAGTTTTTCTAGTGTTTTGCTCTCTCAAAAGGAAATATTTTTTTCCCTCAAAAACTGATGACTGTTTTAACACTTTATAAATTATAGTTTTTATACAAAATGTTTTAATTGTGAATTTGGTGTTTGTAGTAAATTTTAGATCTGATGATGGCGCTGTTGTCTCGCCGAAACGTTATGAAATAAACGATATTCACAAATGTTTACTTCACATTTTGATTCAGACCCAGGAAAGATAAGAATGTCATAATTTATTTATTATGTTTACATATAACATTATACCCTTTTTCGAAAGGGGGAGGGGGGCTAAAAAGCTATTGTGCCTCGGGCACGAGTTAAGTTCGCTACGCCATTGTGCCCGGATGCTTAAATTATACGAACGAAGATTATTTAAACTTATTTATTATTTATATAGAATGTGAAAAATATTGCCAGTTATCGATAGCAGTGGTTCACAGTAGGACTCTTTGTATAAGCATATATGTCTATTCTTTCCATGGCTGATATGATATTGAAATTGTTTTCTGCCAAAGAAAATAAAATGTATCGGCCTCGTGAAAATAATATAATTCATCTCTAAACACAAGTTTAGTACACAACAAACTGTTGCAAAAAGAAGAAAAAAGAGAACAACATTTGCTACTGAAGATCGAAAACTTAATATCTTACTGCATTTTGACGGCAATATAAGTTTTCACGAGGTTGATTACAGACGTTTTGATGAGCTTAGCCGAAATCACCCTTTATAAACGTCAGTCCACTAATTTTTAAAAATGAATATGAAGTAGTGATTTACCGCTTTAGGAAATCCAAATCGTGCGTTGAGGGATCCAAAACAACACCTACATCAATTTGCCTAAAAATTACAATATTCTCTAAATAAGTATAATTTTTTTCCATCAAAATTTAAATGATAATGAAAAAAATCGAAGAAGAACCCATTGCCAAGCTATGCTAGATCATTGCCAAACAGATAATATATTTTTCAGAAATATCAAATAACTTTCATTTTTACATGTGGAATAGCGGAACAAAATCTTAGGACCGTTTTTTGATCAAAATCAAAATATGGTTTATTGCAACGGAAAAATTCACAAATTTTATGGATAAAGCGAGTAACAAAAACAAAACAAAATACTACAACATAAAGTACGTACACTACAGTCAACAATGGTAAAAAAATAAAAAAATGTAATAAAATAGTACAAAATATATCACCTACAATCGTTATGGACAGAAGATACAAATACGGAGGTAATCAGAGTAAGTCAACCACCTATCGTTACAAGCTTTATTGCCACGAAAAAATTCACAAACTTTATGGACAAAGCGAGTAAAAAAAACACAATACTACAACATAAGGTACGTATAGTACAGTCACCAATGGTGAAAAATTCAAGTAATATAATAAAACAGTCCAAAATATGTCACGTACAATCGTAATGGACAGAAGATACAAAAACATCAAAGTAAGTCAACCACCAGCGGTTACGAGCGATGCAGAGTAACCACCCAAATTAAAATTGGAAAACATGAATGAATGGAATAAAGCAGCACCCCAAACCATAAAATGGCACAACTGTTTACCCTGTTTACGTTATTGCAAGCGGATCGTGATCATACCCATTTGATAGTTATAACAGCTGACGTTAGTGCTGTCCGAGATATTGAAATTATGCTCGCTGAACTTGAACCCAATATGCTTCCGCTCCGCTTGCAACCTGCGGTCTCGTTGATAAATAGTAAAAATAAACATAAACTTGCAAATTGATGATCCCGAAGTAAAAAATTGCGACTGCGATACAAATCCAATTAACCCCCCGGCAAACATCTTGACTTGAGTTTCGGTTAGAGTAGTGTTGTAGTGAAGTTGTGGCCATTCGGGAAAGGTGACTAGATGTTTGCGTATCAAGCTGACAGTCTCTAAGATAAATAAAGCGGGAAGTGTAAGAATGCTATGGTTTTCAAACTAGCGCTTGCAATGAGCTCCACTCTTCAGGCCAAACAAGTAGCGAATTGTTCTTCTCTGAAGTTTAAAAAGACTTTGAAATTGCTGGGTGTTCCAGCAGCCCCAAAATGATAGGCCGTAGCGGATGTAAGACTGAAATAGAGAGAAGTAAGCCAGTCGAGCGGAGAACACATTTAACTCCTTAGAAACTGATCGAATTGCGAAACAAGCGGAAGATAGTGTCTTTGTTAGGGAGTCAACATGAGTAGACCACTTTAGGTTAGCATTAATGTTCAAACATAGAAATTTGATTGACTC